TCTCTCTCTCTCTCGCTCTCACTCTCTCTCTCTCTCTCACTCTCCTGCTATTTATATTGCTTCGAAATCAGGTCCGCGCGGCGGTTACGTGTGTTTTACAGACTCACGATAATCGTAGAAAATTCGTCCATGCGTTCGTAATTCGTTACAAAATCTATGTTGGTCGTGTGGATAATATCGACCGTCCCGAGGAGAAAGTAAACCGGCCGCCGCGTCTCGTCGAACACTCGACACGCGGGCGGGCTTAATACGATAGTCGTGTTTCGCGTATCGTAAGTGTCTAACTGTAAATAAAATCGTTATTCGTCTGGTTCGGTGTTGATGTAATTTACAGTGAACCCGGCGTATATATTGCATGTGTAGAAACTGCAACCTTGGTAGGCTGTTCGCCACGCTTCTATCGGACAGAACGAGCAGAACCGGCGGCTCGTGTTAGTGGCGTGCGTTAGGTCCGAATGGGGCTCTGGNGGGGGTTTGGGGGGGGGGGGGGAAATAAAAGATAGAAGAAACGAAAATGTACAAGATGCGATTAGGGATAGTTACGCAAGTAACGCGCTACTCCTCTATACAATTCTGCGTTCTCTCCGCGCGAAACTCGTCTGTCGCGATATCGGCGTGGCGTCGAGAAAACTGTGAATGATCCCATCTGTATCGGGGTTCGAAATCCGGCGTGCATAAAAATCGATTACTCGGTCCCGACCCGGCGATCGGGAACGAATAAGCGAATTCACGAACACCGCCGGGTTTCGACGAGCATCGCAAATACATTCGGGTGAGCTTTGGATCTTGTCGCTGCAGAATTATCTGTACGTATCATTGTACGGAGGTTGAGGCAGCTTACGATGAACTGTTCATACGGAATCGAAACGATTCCAGAGAAACCGACAAGATGTATAAATATCACATGTAAAACTGCACGAAATGAGGACAGAGACTCACGTAACTGGCTTTAGCGTAAAGGATAATTTAGGCCTCGAGTTGTTCTTCCCGAGAATTTTCTTTTGCTCCTCTTTCACACGTTTCTCTTGCTCTTTCCTCATTCTTTGCCTCTCCTCTTCCATTAAACGTTGCTGTTCGACCATGGCCAATCTTTCCTCAGCCTGCGACAGAGATATGTTAACGATCGTCTGCCGTTTGGTCACCGTTTTAAGCGACACGTTCACAATCTTCGACCTACCAATTTCTTCTGGGCTTCTTCGATTTTTCTGTTGTTCTCCTCCACGATCCTCTCTAGTTCCTCGCGCTTCTTCCGCTCTTCCTCCTACAACGACAATGGGCTCTATTTACACGAAGCAATGATGGTGTCGCTCACCAGCTGTTGTTACACCGTTCATATTCAAAATCATAGTGCCGCTACGTCAACAGCCTAGTGTTATAAATCCTAAGAACCTTTCTTTCTCTCTCGCTCTCTTTCTCTCGCTCTCGCTTTCTTTCTCTCTCTCTTTTTCTTTGCACTTGAATTACAAGGATAAAAAAGTATTTCAGGATAACGTGTGAAATTTTGAGGTCGGGTCTTTTGCAATATTATATATCATGAATCAAGGATGGCTTGTCGAGAGAACGTAAACGGAGGACGCGTGTGCGAGACCAGCTCCTCCGTTCGGATCGAACCGAGCCCCTCGCAGCTCTTCCCAGCGAATGCTGTTTATTCTCTGATTTCCCCCAGACGACTTAGGATGCCACTTAAAAAAGTGAAAAAACGTGAATTATGATTTCTGAATTCAATCTCCACAGTGCATGCAAACACGACGGTAACCGTAAAATTCTACAACGTCGCGACGCGTCGAGGAAACTTCTTCTTATCGCAAAGTGCACGAACAAATTCTAACTTTGTACACAAGAAACAAACAGAGAAAAGACAAAAAAAAGGAACATCTCTAAAGAGACTGGAACGAACCGAATCGTTTCGTAGCGAGAAACCGGATTTTTTAGTCTCCTTTCGATAAAGATCGACGCGCTGTCGACACTTCAAAACTAATAGAATGAAACGTATTTAGACCAAAAAAAAAAAAAGAAAGAAAATAGTTACGAACGAGTGGTGCCATCCGTTCCGACCTGTCGACGGAATGCGTTGTGTCCCAGGTACTAATACGTAATTAGCAAATCTAAAATAATCCCTAGTATGGTTCTCGCCAAATACATAGCGTTTATAAACAAAGAATGATAATAATAATATTGGTATAAAATGAATTATGAATATATAAATTGGATAATACCTGAATGAAGCTCACGCCAGCACGTAGGGGATGCCTTCTTCATCGATAATCACTCAGCAGTGAGTAAAATACCGGCATCTTCTGTTGGTAGTCAGTAAGGAAGGTGACCTATATATTTGCTAGGTCGTGCTTTGTTGCTATGGGATTTTCTAATTCGGCCCTTTAAGGTCTACGTCTCCCTTTCACTAATTTTTTTTATATATATATGTATACATTTATGTGCACGTGTACGCATAAGTCTCTTCCAAACTTGTTCACATTGGTTAGCTCAAACTGAACGCGCGAAGCAAGAAGGATCACGAAACAAAGCTATGTATATATACATATATATATATAGATAGATAGAAAACGATCAACTTGTAATCAGGGTCGCTGTCCATTTGACCGGAACACGTGCTGATTTCCCGAGGGTGAGAATAAATATATGTAATTGTGCTCGTACACAAAAGACATGGCAGAAGAACACTCCTATAGTCGCATTTCAAGGAGAACGCTGTATATAATATGTATTAGAAAAAAAAACACAAAGATTGAATTCGAATAAACAACGCTTATCGGATATTTCGATTCGAGTAGGTGCCAATTAGATCAAATAACAGGACCCCTTCTTATTATGTAGTACGAATTTTCCGTCCCAGCTATCGAGGTAAAAAGCGAGTTACAAAACAGCAAAACAGAACAAAACGATCGTGTGTGTATGTATGTGTGTATATATATATATTAGAAACATAAAGTCTATTAAAAAGTTGATAGTGTCTACGTTATTGTTTGAGAGTGATCGCGTGACAAACAAAATCAAGATTACCGCGTGAAAAAGTTTTTATTCTGACCGGTAGCAAAAGCTATTCAGGGAAAAAGTAGCACTGTCCTATAGTTTCGTAGAAAAATAACTTTATTTCAAGCTTACGTTGGTTATTGGTATTCTTTAATGTGTATCTATACTATGGTATATCTTTCTCGATAAATTACAAAGTTCGGGATCGCTAACTTTAATTGGCTGGATGTGTTTTATCTTTTCTTCTCTACTCCTCGAAAGACTGTACGATGCGATTTATGTGGACATATTCACATCGCGCGGGTATAAACTAGACTGATAAGTAATTAGGTCTGCTGGATTGGCAGGGCACCGCGATTGCAAAAATCGGCGAGCAAAAACGCGCCGGAGGTATCACCGCGTTCGAACGCGATTTTTCCAATTCCAGGTGCGACTGGCAATTGAGAAAAATATTGTGTGATGAAAGGTATTAATGTTGTACAAATATATAAATATATACATGGTACAAATACAATATTCCGTTGATAAATAACCGATACATGCGCCTATAATAGCAAAATTCTTCTCATACGAGAAAGTGTTGTATAATCTTCCCAACAACGCGACCTCAGTGGATGCCGGGAAGTCGAAGCAATGTGGCTTTTCAAAAACGATACTTCTCTCTCAACAATTTACAACCACAATGCTTCAAGCCCAAACGCTGTGATCGCGAGATGGAGAATTAACGTTGCGCTACGCGAGTTTGTTAATAATTTATCACATTGCGATTCAACTAACAGCCTTTAGACAATCGTTTAGAATGCCTAATTTCAATTCCACGATCGTTAATCATTGGTAGATAGGATTGTAAAGTGTCCTAAATAGGATAGTCGTAGAAAATATTTGAACTAATGTGCACCTTACCGGAAAAGCTGCTAGATTTATCGTAAAATTCACGAATTTTTCAATTCTCTACGCGTTAGATTGCGCTCTAGCCATTCGAATGGATTCAAACGACGAAATAATGCGCGAATAAAGCACCAAACATGTTTTCTGCTGATCGTAACAGCGCTTGGGCTAACACTGGCCAATGTTTCTCTGGATTGGTCTTACCTCTCTCCGTTTCTCCTCCTCACGAAGTTTCGCTTGTCTCCATTCCATTTCCTCCATCATTTGACGCTCCATCGCCCTTTTAGCTTCTTCTACCCTCCTTTGTACTTCCGCTTCTATTTCCTCCTTTCGCTTTTCTAGCTCTTCCTCCACCCTCTTCTGTACTAACTCTTCGATTCGTTTGGCAGCCTCCTCCTCAACCATTTTTTGCTCCACTTCACGTTGCCTTCTGCAACCACATAAGCATTTTGTTGTTCTAACGCTACAGAGGTAGCAAACGTTTGACAAACAAGTTACCCAACATGCTTCTCTCGCAAAGTATATATTAACTCAACAAAATCTATCTTTAAGTCTGGAATCGCTTTGCCATAGTTCAATTATATTAAAAGATCTTGGAAGCATTATTTTTTAATGCTCGAGATATATTTATGTATATATGTATATATATACATAATCGAATTCAATTGAACCACCACCATGTAATAATTTTTACGTCTTACCCAACAGCACTCGTAGTGAAGATTTTGTTCGATAATTCTTTCTTTTTCCTGACAACATAATTAGAAATAAAAAACGTATACCAATGCAAAGAAATTATATAAATTAATATTTATAGAGTTACACGCTTAAAGAAAGAAACTTATAGCGGAAAGTGATATTGAGACAAATCGAACATAATGCAAGTTATACGCCGCTACAGTCATTGTACATGCCGAACACCTAATAAAAGAGACACCGAGTGGTATGTAAAGACTTGTATACTTCAATTAAGTATGATAACTTTGATTGATATGTAAATCAGAGAAACAGCAAGTTGTACCAATTACCTTTGTCGCTCCATTTCTGCTAGTCTCTCTACCTCGTCCATTTTTCTATCTCTGTCTCTGTATGAACGTTTTTTATGACTGACAATATGTACATCGTCCGAGGCATCGGAACCTGAACTGGAAGATGCAGAATGGGACCGTTTTCTGGACAAACAAACAAACAAACACGCTTGAATTGCATCCGCATGTATTATGGGAGATGCCGACAGTGACACGTCGCGTCGAGAAGTAGCGACGAGCGTGCAACATACAATAATAGGAAATGAGAAACTTGCGACGCACTAAGAGATATATAAGAAGGTAATCCACGTAACTTCCAACAACATATATGAAAGCGCAAAGGAGCTCTCCCACCGAGCGTGTGAGGCAAAATGGCGGAGTACTTGATAAATTGAAGTAATTTGTAATCGCATATGGGAATGACAGGAAAGTAGAAGTGTCATACCTCGATTTCGAACTGCGTTCCTTCGGTTTCTCGGAGTATTTGTTATTCGAGTGTTTTTCTCGAGATTTGGAGCGTTTCCTCGAGTGTTTGCTCTTGTGACGCCTCCTGCTCGGCGATTTCGTTCTGGATCTGGAACGGCCCATTTCTACTAGATCTATTGTTCTTTTCGAGGACTCGCACGTGAAACGGAGACTCTATACGAAACTTGACAGGTAACCGCACTTAAAAATAACCGAACACCACGCGAACACAAATATAAAGAACAATTCACGTCCTACGCGCACACTGCACCACTGACTTGTGCCGTAGTCGCGGCGGCCATCTTTAACTTTGCACTACTCAAGATGGCGGGCGGCAGCGAAGAGGACCAGACATCGCTCCCCGTTTGCATGAAAATTTTAAAGATAATACGGATTCATTTTGGTAAGAACCGCACTATTCTTATTCCCGAAGCTCCGCTGATTCCTTAGGTATAAGTCACTCCTATTACGAATCGATATTACGAAATATTTTTGTATCTCGTGTACGGCCGTTGAAATATCATCGAATCGTAGCTTCTACGGCTATCCAGCCAATCACAGTTGCGTGGAAATAACTTGGAAACTAAATCAATCGATGCAGTATGTTATTTATTCGTAAGGAACGTACGTTGTAATATTAAGACATCGAGTATAACAATCGCTGCGTCGTCGAAACGAGACGCCGTCTAGGGAAGGCTCGATGGGAGCCGATCTCAAACGATTCTACCGTTACGAACGATATCGGCGTTTAGTTAGAGTTGAAACAAGCGTAACGAAATGAAATTCATCGTCACCCGAAGCATCTTTGTGGTTCTTCTCCGATGAAGATCGGAGCACCATGGATATCGAAAGCAGGTTAGCTGCTAACCGTTAGCTAGTAAAAGATTCAAACGCGGAGAAACAGCGGGAAGAATGTGCGTATATTGGTGGCGCGCATGTTCCCCGAGGCCGCGGCACCCGTTCACAGCTGTGTCGGTTGCGCGCGCAGCTGATTCGGCTCGGTCCGCGACATCAGAAATCAAGATGGCGCTCCTCTGTTTGCGGATGATTCTGCGACGTATATAAATACGTGAAAAAAACAGTGGGAGAGAATCGGTTCCGCGGTGGATCGTGTGGTTCGTGGGGATCGGTGGACGCGTGTCGGCCGGTGACAGTTGATTGGAAACGGGACGGGATTGCCGTGGTTCCCGATAACGCCGGTCACGGAGAGTCGGCCGCAGGTCTATTTCGAACGTCGGCGAAAAGGTGCTCTCTCGGTGCCCACCTGAGGAATGCCAGATTATCTTTGTCGCGTCGACGGCACGGTCGACAGGGGGACACGTTAATCGCGGTACGTCGAGTCAAGCTATCGTTCGAGCCATCGCCGTCGGACCCGAAGGTGTTTGCAACGGTGATCCCCCGCGAACGGTGCACGCGCTACGTTTCTCCCGTGACGTATGTGTGTCGCGGAGGGCTGCGAGACAGGTCGGTCGCGAGTGTCCTCGTCGTCGAGCTCGTGTTCGTGCCCGTGGCCGTGCTCGTGCTCGTGTCCGTGCCCGCGCTCGATCTCGATCGCGTTCGCGTTCGCGTTATCGTCGGGGTGTTCGTGGCTAGTGTACCGTGACGCGAGTGGCGTTTGCCGCGGTTTCGATGCGCCTTCGTTCTCTCTGGGATATCTGGACAGGCGAGATCAGCTGCTGTTGCTGCTGCTGCTGTCGTTACCGCTGCTGGAACAACTAGTCCGGCAGCGACGGGGGACGATACTCTTCGGCAGGAGCGGTGGGGCAAGGAGGTGCCGGAAGCAGCCGCGAGCCCGGGACCATAACCAAGAAGATGGCTTACAACGAGGTGACTATTCAGTTTTTCTTTTTTTCGCGAGCACGAGCTGCCCTGCCATTCCCCGCGTCTATGCCTCTTTACCGTTCCGTGTTCCTATCTCTCGCACGGTCGTTCGATCCCATGGGCTGACCTCGCGACCCCCAAACGCCAATTCTAACCTAACCTCTCGTTCCTGCGCACAGCTGGCATGTTATCAACTCTCCCTACCCCTCGCTCTCTGCCCCTTCCGCGGCCCGTTCACCTCCTTTCCGCATCTCTTCATTCTCATCCTTTCGTTTCCACGTTTACCATCGTGCAGCTCGTCCTGTTTTTTTTATCACCGTTTTTATCGTTTATTGTATAATACTGGCGCAAGTGCTCTCCTTTAACCTCTGCTGTTTCTTCGACTCAATTTTTTGTTGTTGTTGCTAAAGTTTCGGATGCGTCGATGTTCCTTAGCTAGCAATTAAGCACTGGTATTACAGAATAAATTAGTGCGTTCGGTATGTCTTCCGCGAAAACACCTTCGCTCGCAACGATATAACCCCTAGAATTATAGTAATTTTGTTCCAGCGTTAATTGTTCGAGCGTTGCCTAAGGTCACGATTGGCGTAGAAATTATCGCAACACCTAATTGCACGTCTTTGTATCTATTTTGTCCACAGGTTCCTGTTCGTTACCAGCGCGACACATTTCTGACGCAATCATTTTGCGTTTCAGGCAAAGAAAACCAAATTAACTTCACCTGTTTAGTCGCCCAAGGTCGGCGCTCGTGTTTACGGCATTCAGACAGTTGAGATATCTCCTCGTGTTTCAATGTATTCTCGGAGTAATGCATTTTTTCGTGTACACACGCGCGCACAGGACTGGCGCGACGAAGGGAACGGCGGGTCAATATTTTCTCTGGATTGATTTCACAATGGAATTCCATTTATACGTGCCCAGGGACATGCGGCTCGCATAACTGGGTCGCTCGTACAATAGGAGTCCACCTCTAAATCTCTCCGGCACCGCCGATTTTTCGTTCAAATAACCGGAATTCACGTGCAGATAACAGTCGGCAAACATTTGCGGCCGAATTTCAGTTAATCGAGCGCTAACTTAAATGGAGTTCCGCTGTACCTATTTTCGTTTGATTTACTGTGACCTATCTTCGGAGACATCGTCGAAGATCACTGGTATCGTTACTCAACGGACCAGAGACGCAACGAAACCGGAACGAACGACGCGCGCGTATCTCTCGTTCGCATCGGGACACAGGAGATAATGTTACAAACGATCGTCTTCCAATCTTCCCTCTATTTTCACACGACGCAGGGTAGAGGGGCGGAGGGAAAGGATACGTACATTCTCGGCTTTACCTATCGCCGGTGATTCCGTAAAAACCTGTGCAATCTGTGCAAACACAGCGATCCATCCATCGCCGGTCAATCGTCTCTCTGTTCTGTTCGATCACCTGGCTCGACTCCGTGATTCCGTGGTAGAAATAGAAAACGGTGTCCGCGGCTATCGGGGTTAGTTCGTAGTCGACGGGGGTGGATAGAGAGATATCCCGCTGCTTGAAATATGAAATGGCATTCGAGTTTCGCAATAAAAACGGAGCACCTTGAGCGCAAGGTGCTTCCAGGGAACCTCGTTCGAATTCCAGCATCGCGAACGCAGACACGTGTCCGGGTTTATGCTTTCCTCATGGTTCCACGGACATTTATATCGCGTTAGCTCTCGGGATTCGTGACCGCGCGGGTGCAGCTTCGCTATCGGCGATTCCTCGTCGCTCCTGCAGCCGCTCCACGCGACGATATTGCGTAACCGTATCCCATAAAGAGCCGCGAGGTATCGTGTTACCGCAAAGCGAACCGAGCGAGACGGCAGAGGTAGCGAAAAATAGAGAGAGAGAGAGAGAGAGAGAGAGAGAGAGAGATGGAACAAAAAACTAACGAGACCGCTTCAATGGACCCGATTCCGGAGTAACACGATACACACCTTGGCCGCTCGTTCATTTAGTTCGTGATCGCAGAAAAAGCTCGTAGCTCGAAGAAAAGGAGCGTTAGCGTTTCAGGCGGAGAAGCGCATCGACGTGTCGGCACCGCCGGTATCGGTATCGGTATCGGTATCGGTATCGCACGCGTTCCGTCGCATTGTTCCGGCCCTCGAGATTATCCGACGGGCTTATCGCGACCGCGGTGACGCACGTTGCACACGTCCGCTACCTTTTATCTCGTTCGCGTCTATTTCTGCCCGTTGACTTCTCCCCGGAGCAAAAAGAGCACTGGCCGGTAATTAATACGCCGCGATCCGATCGAATTTCGTTCGATACGGCGCGGCGCGCGGTGGATATCGTGTGATGCGACACGGGAAAATGTATCCTGTAATCGTACGCGTGGCCCGCGATTTTTCTGATCGCGACGCACCGAGTCCATTGAGGTGTGCTTTTCAAGGAGTCGATAGAGAGACCGGTCGGCTTCCTCGTTCCTCCGTATTTAGTATTTATAGTGTTTGAACCAGGAAAAGATATACACGCCGCGTCGCTCGATGCAGTCGTGCGCGTCCCCCTCCACCCATCGCACTCCGAGAATCGAAATGTCGTCAGCCATTATGGCCGAGTCTCCTCCGTCGGGGAACACGGGGGGCATAGCGGCATAGTGGATCGTTAACGAGGCATTCATAAATTAAGCCTTTCTCGTGACTGGATCGTGGGAATCGGTTGTTTTGCGACACAAGGATTCTTCATTCTTCGTCGCGCACACGTGCGCTACGTGTCCGCCCCGCGGCGTCGTTTTCCTCGGAAAACCTAGAAACGAATCCGGGTTTCGTTTGCGACGCGTTCTCTCCGTCGTCGACGCTCTTCGAGGCGGCAGCGGTACCGTAAACCGTTAAAGCGTTCGCGGTCAGGTTCAAACGAAACGCGAAACGATGGATGCACGATGCACGATGCACGATGCACCTGCGCTCGGGAGGAGCTCGAAAAAGGAGTAAAAGCGGCAGCCTTTAGGAACAATGGCACCTGCTACACCCGGTCATATCGATCGAGAACGGAATGTATACGCGAGCGTCCCGGACGGGATTCCGGCGTCGTGCTCTCCCTTCGCCGGCACCCACTCGTGTGTCGGCGATCGTACGGCTTCTTTCGCCCGCGTCGGACCTTGTTCTCTTCTTTACGACTTCCTCGATTCGGCCCTCGTCCTCCGTTCGGCGTCCACGCCGGCCGGTTCGTTCGGTATTCGCGGTCCTCGAAAACTTTTCGAGCTCTCCGCGCTTCGATGCGGCACGGGGGGCAGTCGTCTCGCGCCGCGCATTTTTCCGCGTCGGGTCGCCCGTTTTCCTCCTCCTTCCTCGAACTTTCCGCGCCGCGAAAGTGAAACTTTTCCGAGCTAAACGACAACGTCGTCCGTGTTCTCGCGGCTCCCGGATTATGAAATTTGGCAGCGATACGGCCGAAAAAGTTTCGCCGGATGGCTCGTTTCGTGCAACGACCCCGCGCGGTCTCGAAATTATGAAAACTGGAAAACCCGTTGCCCCG